GTACATGTAATGAACACTCCCTAAACAGTGCAGTCAATTTTTTTGTTACAGTGTAATCTAGGAATGGACTTCCAAAATCCAAATGTTGCTGGAGAAATGGCACAGATGTTATTGAATAACCATCAGAAATATGTCCCTAGGACATCATCTTCAGCAGATATTGCTGCACAAACTTTTTTTGCTCCTCTATGATTTCATCCTCCCCCTCCAAAAAAAATTAACCATAAGTACATGTAATGAACACTCCCTAAACAGTGCAGTCAATTTTTTTGTTACAGTGTAATCTAGGAATGGACTTCCAAAATCCAAATGTTGCTGGAGAAATGGCACAGATGTTATTGAATAACCATCAGAAATATGTCCCTAGCACATCATCTTCAGCAGATATTGCTGCCATAATTCTGCTCCATGGTGATCAGTTATTTGAGGAGCAGGCAAGAAATGTTCAATGGACATTTCAAGATGGAGACACAAACATTGATCGATTGGAAGGGCTAACAACTGAATTTGCAGATTGGCATGCTAAAGTCACCCTTTATGAGGTATTATTTGACACCATAGTCAAAGTCTAATTTTTAAAGCCCATATACCATAGAGATGCAACACAAACAATCTTCTGAAGGTACTGGGTAGATGTTGGAATTTAATAAGTTTAACAAGCCTGCATACTGTATCTTCATTGTCTTGTTCACTTCATTGAGCTGCAATTATTCTCAAATGCACCAATGCTTTATTATTTTACTCCATTCATACATGCTAAATTATTTTATTATTTTGAGGAGAGTCTTGCAACTTATTAACTGGTTAACATGAAACTTCCCCTTTTAATTATGATAGAATTTAGGCTAATTAATAGTATAAATCTTTTGAACTCACTAGGTTGAATACAACATGTTTTACAAAAGCGAGTCAGGCTCTGAAAAAGGAACAACACGAGCGAGCTAGCTTGAACCGTACAGGAAAAACAAACGCTGCATCTGGTCCAAAGAAGAAATATAACGAGTATAAGGAATTTCATCAATGCGAGGTAGAAGGACATATATGTGCAGCATTTATGTAAATGTCTGGAATGTCAAAACCGGATGTTAGGGTTTGTAACCCAAGTGAGAGAATATATACATTTTTAAGACCTAACCAGGAACAACTGCGAAAAATGCAGCACAAGGTCCTCTGGTAGGAATTGTTTTGAAATGATTTATTTTAAAAGAATATAAAAACTATTTGTTAACAAAGCAATATCAACGAGAGTTCACTGTTCGATGTTTTTCATAAACCCAACAAAACCAACATGGTCTCCAATTAAACACGTGACCACTTAACTAATAAAACAAATCGGAAGTCCGTAATGTTTATCTTATATAAAGTT